ACCATCGGTTACGATCATCCCGAGGTCCCCAGCCAGGTAGCCTAACAGGACCTATGTGACTCAGTCTCCTGGTTAAGGTTTTCATACCCTCGAGCCAGGTCTTAGCTTGACCACCCTTGGCTTTTTCCACTCAGTGTCTGCTTCGGCGAACATCGCTCGTCGTGATAACCTATCTAGTAACATGCGTAGCACACCCCAACCAACGTAATCTATGGAGGTCGATGACTTGTTCCAGTGGGCGACCGCGGGTACCCAAAACTTTGCCCCTAACCTCAGCATTGCTCATCCGGCTATAGCACCAGATTCGTGCAATGCTGCATAGACAGTGATGTTCAAACACCGACGGTCTATCTTTATCCTGTTCTCTTAATGGCCAAGTTTCTGCATCGTATAGCAGGACTGGCCGAACTGTCGCGGCTTACACTCGACCCTTCACAGACAGCCGGATGTCGTGATGGCGCCACAAATGTCTCGAGTTGGCAAATGCCAACCGAGCCTTCTGTTTGCGAGCAGACACTTCATCAGTGATGCGTCCACCGGGTGAGATGTAGCTGCCCAAATAACAAAACTTATCCACCTGCTCAATTACTTCCCCAGTTATAGTGAGGCTGGGTGCTAGATCAACACAGTCTTGTAGTAACATTTTACACTTTGAAGGTGCAAAACGCAGACCGAATATGGCTACGCTGGCGCTCAAGCTATTCATAAAGGCAACTTACCTGGATCTTCACTTAGCAGCACAATGTCGTCTGCTTACTCTAGATCAGACAGTCTGCCTCGTGGGAGTAAATCGATCCCGCTATCCTCGCACGAGAATAGGGCTGTTTTCATAATTAAATCTATCACAAAGTTGAACACCACTTTCCGTGGTGAACTCGGGAGAAAAAGTGCCGTAAGCCCGGACTCGACTTCGGCTATTAGTATNGGCACATCTTTCAGAGAAAGGCAGCGCCAGAGTTTAGAGCGGTCGACTGAGTCGAAAGCCGCCCTCAGATCTAGGAAGGTAGAGATGGTGGGTTTACGAAAAGAATGTCCATGCTCCAGAATTTGGCGGAGAGTGAAGATGTCGATCCAGCTTCGACCGGGCCTAAAACCAGCCTGGTTCTCACGCGTGCACCGTTCACCTTCAGCAGACAATCGGCGGAGAATGATGCCAGCGAGAAGTTTAGGGGCAATGTTGATTAAACGAATTCCTCTGTGGTTTTCACAGGAAGATCTATTAACTTTCTTGTAAATCGGTGATAGATGATGAGTGAAAAATAGGTCGTCGTAGCTACCGTTAGCCAGAAAAGGATGTGTAATAAAAATTAAAAAGCTAACAAACTCGCATGAGAGATGGTAAGGTACATTATCCTGAAAATGAAGCATTTCCAAAACAAGTATTACTGCTCATCACACTAAAGGTGTGCGATAAAAAGTTGTTGTTTCGAGGGAAACTCCTATTCTTAGATCCGTGGGATAAAAGCATCGTCGATAGCTTAATGTCTAACTGAACCGGACAAGTTAAGTTCAAAGTTTAGGCAGTTGCGATCGATCACTAGAGCTAGTGCTGGACTTGCGTTGTTTGGAGCAATTGTTACACATGTCATCGAGTAGATTGCCACAGCACGCGATGTTTGCCGAAGCAGGTGATGCGTTGAAAGAAATAGAGGGTAGTGGATACGAGAGTATGAAAACCCCGACCAGGAGAATTGCTCTCCTAGGTCACGTTATGCTCCTGGGATAGAGACTTGAAGATCAGCGTAACCGGCAGACTGCGTGGTATGGCTGAGTGTCGTAAACAGTAGCACTCGTGCTTGCAGCCTTAGTTTACACGAATCCTCTTTGTTCACCTTGTCAGGGCTTTCAATATTCCAATCTTCTCCTTACTCCTTGCCAATGGGGAGCCAAAATCGCGCACGAAATTGCGTGCTTAGTGGTTGTTCAATCTAAGAACAAGCTTAATGCGACAAGAATAATATAGAAATGCAAGGATTCCGATGCGAACAAGAGCTATAATTTTTGTTTGTTTATTTCACTGCAAACTTTGAAAGTTGTTTTTCTTTTCGTTCTGTGTATGCATATTTCTTGTCGCACTTCTTCAATCTATCCGCAGCAACTCGTGGTTTGATCAACATGGGGAACACATGCTTCCTGAATGTGGTCATCCAAGCTCTGACTCACACACCGGTATTGCGCGACTTCTTGCTGGCCGATTTGCATCGGTGCGACAATCCGGCTCGTTCTCGAAGCTGTTTGGCCTGTGAGATGATTCGCGTCACACAAGAGGTATGTGTGCGCACTCATCAGCTTGGTGTGTGTGTGTGTGCCATTCTTCCACTTGATGCTGGGTATTACCAGTGCATGTTCTCTCGGTTTGTGCTGAGTTGAATTCTCGGGACATATTGCTTGGATAACTGTGTTGTCATTCATCTAGTCGCAGTGGTGTATTTGCGCGTCCATGTGACACCACATATGAGAAGCCTTCTGTTGATTCATTCAAGGTACTCATGGTTAATCTTGTTTGTATGCGGGAACGGTTTTCGATTTGTCTCGATTTGTTCCATTTCGGATTTCTTTTTCGATCAAAATGTGGTGGTGTTTTACGACCGTTACGTGGTTGTGCATCCCCAAAAGACGATCACCAATTCCGTAGAAACTTGTTAGCGTATGTTGAACGCTCATAGCGTACCAATGCAGTGTGAAACAAAACGACCGATTTTATCGTGATCGAACTCGTTTGATTGCAGAAATGCGTTTCAAATCAGTGTTTTTCCCTCACGGGTTGCGATGTCGAGCATGCGTGTTGCGGTTTTTGATTGCATTTCTTCACTTTAGGGGACAAAATGAAAACTTTGAAATAAGGAAAACCTCACGGGAAGAGTAATGTACAGTGGAGAAACACGATCGAAAGAGTGAAATCTGTGGATCTCCGTTTTGAAAAGGTCAGCGTTACGAGTCGGTGTGGAAATAGAGCGAATCGTGGTGTTATATCGTCTTCGCGAGACGTAGTATTGCCCGACCACTTACTTGATCTGGGTCACTGTCGGTTTGTGCAAGAAATTGGCGTAGCAAACACCAGGCATAGCGTCATCAAGCTGGAACAAGCGAAAGTGACTGTAAAGGTGAAAAAAGGTTCTAATTGCTAGTGGGATCGGGACTGTGATTTGAAACCGAGGGTCGGATCTTCAATAGTTTTGCTTTCGAGCCCATCAAAGACGGTCCGGGAACGAGGCAGAATCCCGTCCGCCCGTGGTTATAGTTCTCAATCGTGGGACATATTTGAAATTATCATAGAAGAGGAGCCTGGCCCAAGTGGGATGGAGTGAGCCGGTTAGTAACCTAGAAGTAAGTCGTCGGGTTTTTGGGAACGCATCGAATACGAACTCGCTATCGTATTGAGTTTTGCTCAGTGGAAGAATCGAGGAATGATACAAAGAGTGAGCTCGAATTTGTGGAACTAATGGGAAAAATGGTGTTTGTTCAGTCAGACCTGTTTTCTAGGGTAATCGAGAACAACTACATCATTATCTAAATATCACGTAAAACCCACACTCTAAACTGCATCAAGCGGATCGTGCTAGATTTGCCATTTGAACCTTATTCTAGTTTGGTTTTAGTCAAATAAAAAACTACGAAAATCCTGCATCTTGCTCTGCTGCAATGGCTTGTGCATTCCTGCGATCCAACAAGCTGTCCAGGATAGTTTTTATTTCGCCTAAGATCTAATCATGCTTTGAAGAATAAAGGGCAGAGGCCGGACAATGACTAGTCTTGGGTCTTTCAGGTTTGGAGTTCGACTCAAGTTAGCATCTCAGTCAGTATTTTGATGCAGGAGTAATCGTTCGTTTCTCGAATCATCGATTCAACCGTTCTTGATATTCCCAACCGAGGAGCCCAACGCGGTCTGCAAGATAGAGTCCCACGGTCAGGGTTTTCATGCCTTTATGCTGGATATCGGCTTGACCACTTTCGACCTTCATCCACGCACTACGTCACTGAGCAAATATCGCTCTTCATGGCGTTCTGTTTACGGACACGTAACGTATGTCCCAGCAGGGGTGATCTATGGTAGTCCGATACTTACTCTAGTGGGCGACTGCGATTACCTAAAACTGCCCCTAACCTAAGCATTGCTTGCCGAGTTGCCTCACCAGACTCATATTATGCGACCCAAATAGCGGCGTTCGAACTTCATTAGTCTGTCCCATAATGACCGCCAT